CCCTCCCAAAAAAACTTGGTATCCAAGCCACAAACAGAAATATAATCAGTCTATATAAAAAAGTTTATGTCTGTTCTGTCGGTGACACACCACATAAGTGTTTATTTAGAAAGTAATCAAAATATCCTTATCAATAAAATTAAAGGTGTATAAACAACATAGTGAATTATTATTCACCTCAACCGTATCAGCATGGTTCAATGTATTTTTAAAATAATTTGCATTTAATCACCTTAAAATCAGTATATCAACTACTCAATAAACAAATCGTTTAATATCTTTCGATAAATTACATTGCCATTCTCGGTAGAAACATATTCCAGTAAAATATTCGTAGGTTCTGTACGTGCGAATGTCATTAGCAACAAATACATCAATATAAATAGTCTTAAAGTAATCAATAACATTGCGTAAGGTATCTTCAGTTTCCATATATCATCGAATCTATAATTTTGAGCATTTTTAAGTCATAACAGTATTTACAAAACAACAACGTTCATTAACTTTTCATAGTGATCACTGTGATCAGATTAAAAGTTACCCACATTTTACATAATAATAATGCAATAATATTTTAAATTGGGTTACATTTTGAAGTTGTTTTTTTCATAAAACATCAATTTTATCTTCCCATTAACCTGTAAACTTTCGTAATCTCCATTTTGTCTTCGACTAGTGTACATGTTAATTCGTTGAAAGTAGTTGACAGGAAACCTTGGACTTAAGTTTCGTGCTTATTGAAGTACATTAATAAAGTCGATCTGAAATACAGAGCGAAGTGACGATCCCTGGTGTATTCGAACGCAGATCGCCTAGCTTCGTGGTCCGAAACTCTACCAGTGAACTATTCAGGCTTTGACTGATCGATAGGATTGAGATATTTATTCATTTAACTTGCTAAGCTGGGCTACATGTATTAGAATCTCACAGAGAACATAAGTTCCGCTTTTCTGATGTTTCCATTGGAGAACAAAATCTATATTCATAGGTTCTTGCTGACCCCCGCCAGCTACATAATATCTCAATATAATACAAGCAACATCGAGTCACATAGACTGATGACCACATTTCAAACTAATCGACGGACTTGGATAAGCCCTAGAACGTTAGACAAATGTGACAATAACCATTATCCAATAGCTAATCGCTTGTGAACTGGCGTATATTTAGCATACAAAGAATTATAACAATCTTGAAAGATAATGATTTATTAAATAAAATCATGTTCACATTATTTCTTTGGTTAGAGAAATGTGATTGACATTTGAATTAAAAACAGTTACAGAATAGTAAAACTAAACATTCAATAAATATTAATTCAAATCTAAAGAAAACATTTTCTTAACGAGTTAATAATTAAATAAACTTTCTTGTTAGGAATTTATGTGGTATCAAACATTAGGTATTTATGAATACTATCAATACTATCAAGTAAAACAACACCAAGTGGATTTAAACTTCACCCCATTGCACAAGCAAGTGACCACCTGCACTCAGTACCGAAATGGATAACGCTATGACGTTTGAAAAGAACGGTACTGGGTTAAAGTCCTGGAGTAAAAATCAACACTGAGATAAAGGTATATCCAGTTGACGAGTCACAAATAGGACGAGACATGCGTCAAACTGGATTCCAATGCTGGTCACTATCCATCTTTGCTTAAATAGTTTGTGACGTAAGACTATATCGAGGCAATCTGCACAGGATGCACATAGGCCAACATGAGACTGATCATTTACAGCACTGAACGACAATGAAAAGATTTAAGTAAACAATACCATGTGAATTTATAATTGAATTTGTTTCTGTTTTTCATGGATTAGTTACATATGATAATTTATAAGTTGAAATCCACTTGTTCAGATTCTTATTTTTATTTGTGATGATGACTGACATTTGAGTTGATTAGATTTACGATTCATAGCTTCAAACAGTCAAGTTGATGGTCTTAGTCAAACAAGAGAGTCAAACTAATGTGGAATTATATTTTTATTTCAATTTATTGTAAGGTACTGTATTTAGTAAGCTTCATTATTTACGTTAGTCATTTTCATAACAAATTAAATTTATCGAATGACAAGAATAACTCGGCAAGCACAGAATGGAATACTCAGATACTGATTTCCACTTCACTTTTTACACTAACATTCTACGATACTTGAAACGTGAATTGAATGCTGCTAGCGTTGAGAGCAGAAAATTATCTACAAGTCGATGTTTACTCTGTATACAAAATGAATCGTTGTATTTATTTGATTATCATTGACTGTGATATTCTAGAAGCTTGAAGAAAGAATATCAATGAATATCAATGAGAAATTTCTGTTTTGATCATGTGGATTTAGCAAGCCTATAATTTGCCATTTACGGATTGATTGTGTAATTTTCCTAAGAACTTTGACTTGTCAGTTTATTTTTGGTATATTTCCTGGCTGTTTAGATATCATGAAAGAGTTTTAGGTGACTCGTCACAGTCACATATTCAATATACGTAGTATGCTGAAACAATTGCAAGTGATCTGAAAGTGATGATAACGTTTTCATCGAAGAACTAAAGATCATTTGCCACTAAAATGATTAGAAAAGTGGTTTGATCTTAATCGGTAACTATCACTGTACGAAAGTATAAAATAAATATATCCGTTAGAGAATAAACTTTTAAACTCCTTATCATCAAACAGTCCATCATTATTTGTAAAATATTAATAGACAGAAAAGAGGAGAATAAAACTCTTGTTTTTCTCATGTATGTAATTGTTTCTAAAAAGGGACATAATTGTATTTACTATCATGAAAGACTTATGTTGATCCGTAAATGTAAGTAAATGTTCTTAACTAGCAGTTATTCAAAACTGGCAAACACTTGGTGATTAAATTATTCTAGCATTAAACATTTTTCGAAAGGCACGAATGGACGAAACGCGTATCCTGAATTCTACTGCTAGCCACTATCCATCTTTGCTTATAATTCTTGTGACTTAAGGTTATATCGAGGCGATCCGCACAGGATGCACATATGTTAACAAGTGACTGGTCAATCGCAGTCCTATATAACAATGGAGAGATACAAGTAAAACAACACTAAATGAATTTTTACTATAAAGTTATCATTACAATTTTTTTTTCTTCCATTAACATCAAGTTTGAAATAATTCAAGTTAATTATAAAGGATAAATCTCTTCAATTCACACTTCTTTTTTTGTTTATTATTGTAAAGCAAATATCATGAAATTTCAAATGATGTCCAATATACTACTACTGTCAGTCTTGATAGAAATTAGTTTTTTCTAACAGATGATTTTACAAACAGAACTCTATTGTATGATCTTAATGAACATGAATACAAAATCAAATTTCAATGATTAGTTAGAAAGAAAAGAAAAAAGAAAGAAAGAAAAAAAAGAGAAAAAATGTTAGTTCGATAATATTCTTCTTTAGAAATGTCATTTATAAAATCTTACATATTACTTTAGCAAATCCTACTGTGATGATTGAATAGTTGTTTATTGCAAATGACCATTTATACTGAAACAAAATATCTTTTATTATTGAAATAGTTCTCAGTTAAATAATTGACAATTATATCAAACTTCTTTTATTTAGCTTCAATATAAAGAAGAAGAAAAAAACATTTTTCAACAGTTTATCTATACAATGAAATCGGTGCATAATTAATTTAATGGATTTTATTTAATTTTCAGTTGAAGTTATTGTTTTGTTACTGATATAACAATTCAAGTAGAATATATACAAAAACAAAAACAAATCAAACCCCTTCTGATATGAATCAACATATGCTCCCTAGTGACTGGCTTCAAGAGGTATATCCTGGAGTTTTAGTGAGAAGTAATGATCAGTGAAGTTCAACCAGGTCTGTTGTGAGATGGTAACTCACTGAAGACAATGGTGGATGGTGGCCCAATTTTGTGAATTAGTCGAAGTTAGACATTCAACACCGTTGGATGCCGGCCAGCTCAGTGGTCTAGTGGTTAAGTGCTCACGCACGAAACCAGTAGGTCCTGGGTTCAAATCTTGCAGCGGGCGAGGTCATGGATGCGCACTGCTGAGGAGTCTCACAACAGGATGAAACGGACGTCCAGTGTTTCCAGGTTTTCAATGGTGGTCTAGCTTCAACTGACTCATGATCTTAACCATTGAAATTACTATAATATCCACAAAACCCATTTTATATTAATCAACATATGCTCACTAGTGACTGGCTTTAAGAGATATATTCTAAAGTTTTTGTGAGAAGTAGTGATCAGTGGAGTTCAACCAGGTCTGTTGTGAGATAGTAACTCACTCAAGACAGTGGTGGATAGTGGCGCAATTTTGTGAATTAGTTGAAGTTTGACATTCAACACTGTTGAATGACGGCTCATTGTTATCGCATTCGCACACAAGACCGATATATCTTGGTTTCGAATCTCACGAGGCTAGATCGTGAATAGGCATTGCTGAAAAGTTCCACAATAAAACGAAACAACCGTCTAGTGCTTCTAAATTTTTCATGATGGTCTATCTTCAATTGACACATAATCTCAATTATTAAAATTACTATAATATCCACACACAAAAAACCCCTTCTGATATTAAACAAGAAACAATAATGTATATCTAATTTGTCAAAATTTATACAGAAAAACTATTTAAAAAATAATATGGATACAGGTTTTTGTTCTTCATGTTTATATTTCTAATTTTCTCATTCACATATTATTAGTTTTAATTTTTTCGTGTCAGCTGCAGTTTTTACATCTTATTAAATACAAAAACAAAAATATACATTTTAACTGCCAAAATGTGTGAACAAAAAAAATAGAGAAAAAAAAGAAAACTAAATCAAGATTAAGGAAAGAAGAAAAAACTGTCAGAATAGTTCGAAATAATACCAACACAATAAAACAATCAATGAGGAAAAAGTAAAGAAAAAGAAGAAGAAGAAGAAGAAAGAAAGAAAGAAATCATTAAAAAGAAACAATAGTTGATTAACTTATTTCAATTATACTGAAAAGATTGATGAGCATGAAGGATAAAATAAAAACACGATAACAAATTGTAAAAACTAAATGATGATGATGATGATGATGATGATGATGATGATGATGATGATGATGATGATGATGATGATGATGATGATGATGATGATGATGATGATGATGATGATGATGATGATGATGATGATGATGATGATGATGATGATGATGATGATGATGATGATGATGATGATGATGATGATGATGATGATGATGATGATGATGATGATGATGATGATGATGATGATGATGATGATGATGATGATGATGATGATGATGATGATGATGATGATGATGATGATGATGATGATGATGATGATGATGATGATGATGATGATGATGATGATGATGATGATGATGATGATGATGATGATGATGATGATGATGATGATGATGATGATGATGATGATGATGATGATGATGATGATGATGATGATGATGATGATGATGATGATGATGATGATGATGATGATGATGATGATGATGATGATGATGATGATGATGATGATGATGATGATGATGATGATGATGATGATGATGATGATGATGATGATGATGATGATGATGATGATGATGATGATGATGATGATGATGATGATGATGATGATGATGATGATGATGATGATGATGATGATGATGATGATGATGATGATGATGATGATGATGATGATGATGATGATGATGATGATGATGATGATGATGATGATGATGATGATGATGATGATGATGATGATGATGATGATGATGATGATGATGATGATGATGATGATGATGATGATGATGATGAGTCCATGCGGTCACTGGTTTGTGTAATAGGACAATCTAAACAAGATGCATATAAATTAATAAGAAACTGATCAATTGCAGTCCTAAACATCAATGGGAAGATTCAAATAAGCAATACGAAAATGAACTAAATCTTATTTTTAAGATTCTTCACTAAGAAAATCGATATTTAGTATATTCAATATTATAAGCCGATGATCAGTTAATCCCATCAATGATAATTATTTCATTACTGATATAATGAACTCTTAAAGGTACGGATTCTTGATATATTTAAATAAAAGTTAACCAATAGTCTATATAAGATCATTATATAGAATAATGAATTGTTCAGTTCAACATACATCGGAAACCTTTTTTAATGTTTAATACTTGAAATATATCTTAATCTAATTATATTGTAGGTCTTACTCATGTAATCCAAAAATTTATTGAAACCTGTAACATTAATAGTGATAAGTGCCAATCAATATAATGCTTAAGTTTATAGTATCCATCCATGTGTTTTTCACTACCAGGTAGATACTGTATCTTGGTTTGTATTGATATAATAACTTCCAGTCTACTACAGTTCACAATATGATGTCAGTATGGTTATTTTTTCACTACAAAACTTACTATAATATCTGTAACTTAATATATTTACAGTTGGTTCAAATTCATACTTTGTTAATAGATTTTATCAACATTTCGTATTGCCCCCCATCCAGCCAAACAATTTGGTGAAGCGTATTAGGCCCTTGTGGAGAGAAACAGGACACATCGAAGCACGGCACAACTACCGGGGCTAGAATAATTGTTTCTGCAAACCTTTGGAGTTCGCCCAATGACGAGCAACTCCATATGCACCACTTTCGAAAAAAAAATTGTCGTTTTCCGTTCCAAATGTAATTGTGCTATGTTTCTCTGTGGGTTTCGTAATCGATTTGTGGGTATCGGTAAGAGTGGGTGATTAGCCCGATCTCCACCACCTGGGTTACCGCTCACGTTAGTTCATAAGTCATTTGTCCCACTATCCAGGACGCACGACACGGACGTGTGAGTCGGATTTCGTATTATCATTTGTAAAATAAGTTTTGTGAATTAGTTATTATCATTATTAAATATTATTGTTCAGATAAATGAATAGTTTGAAGTAAGAAACATAAAATAGTGTCAATTTTGTTTAAATGAAACAATACATGATGATTATATAATTAAACATTGTCCTTAATACACAAAATGAAATCAAATATTCTATTTCAATAGTTAAGATCATGAGTCAGTTGAAGCTAGACCACCATGGAAAACATGGAAACACTGGATGGCCGTTTCGTCCTATTGTGAGACTCCTCAGCAGTGCGCATCCACAACCACGCCCCCTACGAGATTCGAACCCAGAACCTACTGGTTTCGTGCGTGAGCACTTAACCACTAGACCACTGAGCTGGCCGGCATCCAACGGTGTTGAATGTCTAACTTCGACTAATCCACATAATTGCGCCACCATCCACCATTGTCTTCAGTGAGTTACTATCTCACTAGAAGTCCAGTCATTAGTGACTGGCTTTAAGAACTATTCTATGTTTGTTTGTTAGTTTGAATGACATATATGTCTGTATATCATCATAGTATACATCTAAATGAGTTTGATTTATTAGAAATAATCAAGAAAAAGTGTACAATTGACGAATTCCTATTATGTAACATTGTACAACAGAATAAGGGTTAATCAACTATAAACAAAAGACTTATACCAAGATTTTATCCGTGAAGTAACAGATTTGTTTATTCTATTATGTAAATGTAATTTATTTGATTGATTATTTTTGATGAAAATGTATTGCACTGATATGATTATAATAGAGTACAGTGTTTTAATTTTGGATTCATTTAGGTTATTTGAAGTTGAGAATAACGTCACCTTATTATCCAATAATAAATATCATCTTCAACTATCAAGTGATTTTCGTTTTTTACACAATAGTTATCTGGGATCAAGTGGACCACAATAAGGTCTGGTTTTTATTACTAATTGTAAAACATTGGTCAAAGGCAAGAAAGTTAATGTTTGGCAATAACACTATTAAATTCACTTGATATTGTTTGGCTTGTATCTTCCCATTGAGGTTTAAGACTGCAAATGATTAGTCTGTTATTGGCATATGTGCATACTGTGCGAATATTTCGATATTGCCTCAGTTCACAAGCTTTTTGTAAGCAATGATGGACAGTGGCTAGCAGTGGAATCCAGAATGCACGTTTCTTCATATTTGGGACTCGTCAGGACTCAGTAGTTGAGTGGATAACGCGATGGCGTTTGAAGTGAATGGTAATGGGTTCGAGTCCTAGAGTGAACATCAACTCTGAGATGCAGGCACATCCAGCTGACGAGTCCCAAATAGAGCGAAACGCGCGTCCTGGATTCCACTGCTAGCCACTATCCATCATTGCCTACAATAACACTCTTAGGTGAAACCTTGAAACTCAACGCCACAATCACAACAATTTACTTAATCACATAATAACTAAATAGGATAAAATCAGTCCATCAAGACATTTTATTCGAGTAAAAATCAGCTTCACAGTCAATCCCTTATTCTAGTCGTTTAGTGAAATAAAAGTAATGTCTTGTCTCATAATCTTCAATGAAAAAATGATATTTCTTGGTTATATTTTCGACTAGACTTGGAGCCATTTAACTAAATACTGAAATACTAAACTTTATTTATATTAATTAGATGCAATAACATTTCCAAGCCTACTAAGTAGTATCTCAAAGACTTGAGATAATACATCATGTTTGAAAACATAAATGAAACCAAATTTAACATTTAAATGTCCAAAATGGTTTTGTGGAGATTTTAGTAATTTCAATAGTTGAAATCATGAGTCAATTGAAGATAGACCACCATGAAATAACTGGAAGCAATGAATGGCCGACTCCTCCTAGTATGGGAATCCTCAGCAATGCGCAACCATAGTCCCGCACCCCGCGAGATTCGAACCGAGGACTGGTGGTGCAATTTCGTGGATTGGTTGAAGTTAGACATTAACATCGTTGGATGCCGACTAGCTCAGTGGTCTAACAGTTAAGCGCTCGCGCGCGAGATTGCTAGGTCCTGGGTTTGAATGTCGCGAGGTGGAATCGTGAATGGGTACTGCTGAAAAGTCATATACTAGGACGAAACGGTCATACAGTGCTTCCAGGTATTCCATGGTGGTCTAGCTCCAATTAACTCATGATTTCAACTAGTGAAATTTAAATGTCTATCCTAATAAAGTGAAAGGTACTTTGATAAAGTAAACTGTAAACGCATGAATGAAATATGTACACAAGAATAAAACTTTTCTATACTATTACTATGTATATTACATAGCATCAAATTCATATTAGAAAAGTCAATACAAACATTAATGACAAATATTTTTCAACAAAGCCAATGTGAACATAGTGAAATCTTTCATATCGGTTAGGTCATATTATAGAGAATGATTCAAAAGAAAGTTTTCTTATTTATAATAGATTGCTATTGATGTCATCATTGTTCTTATTCATAATCTTTGATCATTTATATTCGTTAGATGAAAATCAATGACTGTTATACATTTCTATATTGTTAAAATACAATTATGAATTGAATATTCCTCTATTACAGTTATTCCAACAATGTAGATGATCGAAAATGAAGATCAAAACGATTCCAGGACAAATATCATTTCTATACTATTAACAATGGTATATAAAAAAATTCTATACTGGCATTTAAGTAGATGACATTTCTAAATAATTAATTAATGATCAAATAGAATGCATTGTAAATTATGATTTAATATGACTGACTACTAATCTTATGATTTATATGGTTAATTAACATAACTATATTGACTTATAATACTACTGAAATTAACCGTAATTATATAAATGTAGTTTTATATAGATTGTTTGATTAGCTTCATTGACTATGTTATATCCTAAGTAAGAATAAATGGATGGTAATTGTTAGGAATCATTTATGGACTGTTATTACATATATATTCTTAATGTATAATTATTAAGTAATTAAATTAGATATTTTTGATATTTCTCTTATTGTAAACTTTCATTTGACCTATTGGTTACTATTATACGATTTACTATTCTTAGGTTATTTCTAATTGACTAACTACAGTCTTTCACACTCACAGCCTTTTTGGGCTTGATCTTGTATAATTGTTATTTTCTATTTTATGGTATGATGAAGTCTGATTTATTTGTATATAAACTACATATGTCTGAAATATATGATTTATACAGTGGAAACTAAGATTGTGTTCTGGACTCAGCGGTCACGCCAAGGCAAGAAGAACCGATATGGGCTCAGAATTGACTCGTACTGGTTGACGAGTTATTGTTTTGGCACAGTGGCAAGGTTGGTGTTCTAATTGACGATAATGTCACGTGACATGACAGATTACTTTGTCATTATTAAGTAGTTACTAATTTACTATGAAATGGTAGTGATTATTGTAATCAATTTTACGACTTTCTCCGTTAAATTTCACACTACATTAACTCCTTAAGTAGTGAATGGATCATGAAACAAATTTATGCGAAAAAATCACTTTATTATGTTCACACTAATAAATTTTCGAAATAATTAAGGATGTTATTTTTAAAGTCATTCTACACGTCCTATTGAGTTTGAGAATGATAATAAGCATCTTATGTTCAACACAATTATCATTATAATTATTCACTAATCGGAAGGGGTTTTGTGGAGATTTTAGAAACTCCACTGGTTGAAATCATGAGTCAACTGAAGCTAGACTAACATGGAAAACCTGGAAGCACTGGATGGCCGTTTCGTCCTAGTGTGGAAATCCTCAGCAGTGAGCATCCACGACCTCGCCTCCCGCGAGATTCGAACCCAGAACCTACTGGTTTCACGCGCGAGCACTTAATCGTTACCCGTGGAGTTCAACCGGGTCGGTTGTGAGACATCAACTCACTGAAGACAATGGTGTACGGTGGCGCAACTTCGTGGA